TCGCCTGTTATTAGAAAAGTGATTTCTGCTTCTGATACTTTTTTTTTCACCAGCAGTTTGGCTTGTAAAGTACTATGTATCTAATAACTAGCCAAGTTGAACGTAGCTATGACTTGTTTTATACTGCCACAAGCCATGAATTTGCCAGATTTTCATGCTACTGGCGCGTCAGAGTGTGATTCTATAATTCATAGTCGTGGCAAATTCCTGCTCTGTGGCAAGCTCTTATATATATTAATTGCACTTTAACGGACTATGATTATTTTTGACCCAATGACCTAAGTAAAATTGTGAAAAAAATAAGAAGAACCTAACCTGGCTGGTGGTGTCGAACTGATTTATAACATCGGTTTTACTTAAAATAAGACCAGGGGCATGCAGTAAATAAATTTTCTTGGGGAATTTGACGAGGTCAATTGTTGTTAATGCTTTCAAAGACACCATAAAAACAATGTGCTGTTCTACACTATTTACATATTGTTCCTACGGTGACGTCACTCTAGAGATGCGCAGAACGGCGAAAAATCATCATCGCCGTGGGTCAACCTTATATCAGTTCAACCATGGTGTTATCTCTATCTCAATCAATCTTCGGTTATGGAAGGATCGGGTTCCAAAGGCCGGATACCTTGTAAATCAAGTCACGAAAAGTTCAAGAATCGGCAACAGGCCGTGGGCCTGTTTTCTTCAATGCCGACCCTGGCTTACCCTGCCTGTTGACATCATAGCTGCAACGGATTAAGGCCCCCTCAATCACAACAATTTTCTTCGTTTTCCTCATCACAAAAAAAGTATACACAGGGGTGACCCTTTAATTATTTGTAACATTGGTTCGTATTGGGATTATAATTATTAACATAACATAACATAACAGAGTGATGTCGGCGCTGAAGTGTAGGCCTGATGTGGCCTGTCGCCGATTCTTTTCATTTTCGTGCCTTGTTCATAGAAGATCTAAACTCGTGTCATTTGACCGGATCTTTTCATGACTGGCGATAGTTTGAAGAAGCTACTAGACTTCCACCGGGTTCGATAAGGAGCTAGGCATTTCAAATCTGAACATATATAAGCTTTATCTAGTCTGTTCTTGAACGCGTTCATACTTGGAGCGCCAACGATGTCATCGGGGAGGCTGTTCCACATGTCGGTGATTCGAAGCGAGAAGAAATTTTGTCGCGTAGAGAAGTTGCAGCGCAATTTTTTTAGCTTATAGCCGTGGCCCCTGGTGTTGGTTCTTGTTTCAAGTTCTAGTAACCCTTCAGGGACCTTGAATAAACCATGAGTATACTTGTATACTTCAATGAGGTCCCCACGCAGACGTATTAAATAAATTTTTGGTGTATTGAATCATATGGATTGTTCTAGTACATTTTCAGCTCTATAAAATATTAAAAATTGTCAATGATGAGACGAATAATAATTTCCTCTTTTTTATATTTGGGAATATTGTATACTGGCTTGTTAAATTATTATTATTTAGTTGCTCAATCTACGCCGATAAGAAAAAGATTTTTTTCTTTATTACCGCAATCAAGCCTTAAATACATAACGGATACTGAACAGAATCGTACATACAATCAAGGACGTAAGCATTTCAGAGTTTTTAGGACAAATCCTCATTTGAAATATTCTCGAGTTATTAATTGAATATTTTCATTTGGCATTTGCTGAGAGCATAGCTGAACTCAATTTTCACATTGAGAAATATTTTATAAGAATTTAAATAGAATTTTCACATTTTTTCGGGCCCCAAGCTTCTTCAGTTTTTAAAAATATAAAATAATAAATTTCAGTTTGACTTTGTTCATTGATAATTTATATGCGTTACAATGTTGTAATGAGATTTTCAAAATTTCTCAAAGGCTGTCCTCTCTCTTGTATTCACTTTAATATATTTAAATGCCAAAAGGCTGCCTCAACTAATGTATCAGAACCAATGACGATGGGAATCATCTGCTAACCTCGTATTCTTAACAAACCATAACATATTGATCTCGGCGCTGAAGTGTAGGCCTGATGTGACCTGTCGCCGATTCTTTTTCTTTTTGTGCCTTGTTCACAGAAGATCTAAACTCGTGTCATTTGACCGGATCTTTTCATGACTGACGATAATTTGAAGTAGCTTTGAAGTAACTTCTCGACTATTAGTTGCAATTATTTTCAGGTTTGTATTGCTCGCTATTTTTAGTTACGGTAGGTTATGAAATCACACCGAACAAAAAAGCACGTTATCGCATAAACAACCGATTGGGTAAAAAATAGCAAGAAAACTCTCTAGGTCATTATATGAATGAAAATAATAATTTCATAGTGGCTTGATAATTTTTTAGTACCCATTTTTGTAAGTAAATTAAATAAATCTATGTTAAGATATTAATTAGTCTATTTCGGGAACCAATATTTTAAAAGGTTACACCAAAAAAGCCTAGTTGTGCTCCCCTCATTTCATTGCACCCTTCTTATATTTCATAGAAAGTTTGAATGTTGGAGTTTAGTTTTGACTGATTTGTTCAAACTCATTTTATGGACTTTTGACATGGTTTTGACGAAAAACATCATCAATAATGATGCTATAATCACAAAATAGTGTACGTACATATCAGGAAAGAAAATCGTAAATGAGTTATTTTAATGCCCACATTGAGAAACAACAATATGCAAATTGGATTTACACTAAAGTTTAGTCATTATACCGCAAACAACACCCACTCTTAACCTTAATGTCGCAAATAACACCCTCTAAATCATCGAGTGGGTCGGGAATTACATTCATGTTTTTTAGATTCGTATAAATTTTTCACGCTGCATGTAGAGCAATTTGCACTCAGAATGAATGCTGTACAAATTGGTAACTAATGTGCCACACTACATGGTGACTGACTAAATGTATACACGAAATTGCTCATCCCTATAATGCGATTTAAAAAAAAGCTAGAATCGAGAAGAATGCATGTGCAGTGTGCAAATGCCTTCCAAACATCACCGGTCGGACAAAAGCGCGTGGGCGTTAGCGTGGGTTACAGCGTGGGCCAGCCCGGCCCTGAACCTGCCCTATACCAGCTCTCCCTTTAGCCACGTTTTATTACCTCAATTCGTAACCAATAATTATGAAATTTAATAACATCAAGTACCACTGTCACGTCTGCGCCTGGGAGCAACTCGGCTCACCCATGCTCACCTTTTTACGGGACAACAGCCTGCTCACTGCCCCTCCTGTGACCAAAGATGGACTACTGCTCATCTACTACTGGAATGCCCTGTGCTGCAGCAGTCAAGACAGCCCCTGGACCAATACTGCAAAGAGATGAACTGGCCTTTCACACTGACAACCCTACTAAGAGATGATTTTCCAGCTGAGAAACTAGTTACCTTTCTGTCAAAGACGGACATCATCGACAAGCTCTAAAGAACAATACCACAAGCTCTGACCAAAGCACCAGATGCCCAAGAAGGCTGGTGCTAAAAATTAAACGAGATTAAACGAGTGTATTCCTAACCTAGGAGCAGTTCACGCGTAGACAGAAATAACCTCGCCTCTTAAGCTTCATGATATTTAAATATTTAATATATTCTAGCGGATTTTACAAAAAATGGCGACTTGTGTGGTTGGTTTTGGGGTAGACTGTCGCAAGTATCAGCTGTTCCGTTTGTTTCGCTAATCGCTATTTGGATTTGGCGTTTGGTCAGGCCGTTAGTTGATAGTTGGTGGCCCTGAATAACAGAATAGGTAGGTAGCTATACTGAGACAGGCCTTTGTAAAGCCTAGCTAGTCCAAGTACCCTAGTCCAGCTAGTACGAGCCGCATCATCGTTTAATTTTGGTAGAGAAGTGCTTCTAAGAATTGAATTTTTACATTCAGCGTTTATTAGGGTGGAGGCCTGTCGCCGATTCTTAACATGGCAGAACATTCACATTTCACAGCTTGTGCGGGCTTGAACTCGCAACTCACTGCTTCAATTTTGCTTTGCTTAACTGCCTGGTCTCCTTGCCGACCAGAAAGTGGCGCACAGACAGAGGTGACAGAGCTGGGAGTGCCTGGGACCGAACCCAGACCTCTCTGCTCGACTGCTCCAATCTTGGTACTCTGAAGTCTGAACTTTAACCACTGGGCCTGTGGGGCTGTGGCCACCCTGCTTAAGAGGCTAAGAGTCTAAGACTAAGGTCAAAGGTCAGCGTTACTTAAACTTTTAGTGCCAGCAGTTCTTTGAGCAGAAGGCACTTGAGGCAGTGGGTTCTCACCTTCAGATGCGTCTGAGTTGAATGGGGTAAAACACAAACATCATGAAACATGTAAATGTAAAACCTTAGAATGATCTATGAAGGAACCAGGGCAGTGCCAGTAGCCTACTCCTAGTAGGCACCAGCCTTAACACCAGAAATAGCCTCCTATGAAATATGAATCTTCCAAGTTGTTGAACCGGTTGAAGTTGGCAATGCCTGATAGTCAGTTAAAAACTTAAATTTAATCAGCTTATAATTGTGAGTGACGTCTGTGTCTGTGTGCATAGTTCAAAACTTCAGATAATTCAGAAAGCTCCTAGAAAATTAGAAGCACTCAAGCTAGACTAGCCTTTATGGACAATCAGACAATATAGGCTAAGTAGCTAAAGTAGGTACTACCGTACTGCTATCAGTATCAGTAGACAGTAGTGCTTTTATTTTAATTAACTGCACTTCAGCCTCTGAAATTATGGCAGTGCCAGTGTGCCACCAATGCATGTCATTGCATGATGATTTAATGATTGGTTGAGTTGGTTACATTAGGTACATTTATTATTTATAATCTTTTTTAAGTTGTAACAAATGCATTTTTGAAGTTTTTGGAATGCCTTACTTCCGCCCTTAGCTGCTAACTTTAGCAGTTTGCCTAAGTCCTAACTCAAGTTGCATCATAACTTCTAGGTACAACTGTCACAGTCACATGGATGATGCCTTATCTCATCTGAGTCATCTGAAAGACTGTATGTGAATTTTACCAATAATTTTTTATCGTGATGACTGTGCATTGTATGAGTAAAAATTTATGCCCTGGTTATTTTTCAGATGAACTTTTCTGAATTGCTGTCTAGTTAGCCTGAACTGAAGTTCTTTATTCATGTCCTTGATCAATCATCCAGAGAAAGTACGTCGGTTGTACAAGACTATCAGAAGACTCCATCGAAGCCTTCCTGAAGACCTAAGAGTACTAGGTAATCAAGTTTAATTTTTTTTAAAGATTCAATCTTGACAATTAACTTATGTTTTTTTCTGACCTAGGTATTAACATGAAATATTTTTCTATTACATTTTTCAGTGAAATTGGTAGTCATCATGGAATATCATTGTTTTCATTAAAATGAGATTTCATTTGTCATGAAAAGTTGAGATTGCCAGTCTCATGTACTGACAAAATAAGTTGTAAAATTTCAATGGGAGATTCATCTATAAAACTATGACGTATTATATATTCATTAGATGATCAGCCTACTTTTTACAAATGCAAATGAGTTTAAACTTTCTCTAGTATCACCTCAGGATGAACAAGTCATATAACAGTTTCCTTTGTGAATTCTTGGGTAATTTTGGCCAAGCAAGCTTTTTATTGTTCTATGTTATGATAGAAATAATAAATAACAATTATATAACAAATTTTTCTAAATCATCAAATCTTCATTGCCTAAAGAAAATAAAATTATTCATACCATTTTTTGTTATAATGTAGTAAATAATGAATTATAATTAATTTTTTGCTAAGACATATTAAGCCCTGCTAATTTTCTTCTAGTAATAATCTAAATGAATCATTTCATTGTGTTTCTTATGGTTAGTGAAAATTTTCTGAGGATAATTATTTACCTACATGTCAGAGTCTCCATAATGTGTAACATGTGTACCTATGTAACCCCTGTATTTCAGGAGATGAATATGCCAAGGCAGAATTCAAAGCGCATAAGAATGCTGAACCCCAGTTCGTGTCGACGTTCATGACTGAGTGGTCAAGCTACGCTGTGCAGCTCAGCAAACAACTTGGCGTCCGTGGAGCACATCTAGCCAAGCCTGTTGGCTCAAACCTGCAAGTTGAAATGCTGGATCTTTTCACTGAAGAGCAATTGAGACAATTATTTCAGCTTTATTCTGAAGCTAAAGGTGATAATGAGATTGTTACCAATGATGAGAAAAGATAGCAATTATTTCAAGAATGTTATGTAAATAAATGTTACCTATGAATTTAATAGTACCGGTACGTGTTCTTCTCAATGACAAGCAACTGGGACAATTTTTTGAGGTTCATTCTGAAGCAAAAGGTAATGGGATCAATGATGAGTATGGGTTAAGATTAATTTAGGATTGTTATGTTTTAAGATGTGATTGAATGCTAGGGATCTTTTCACTGAAGAGCAGTCGAGACAATTATTTCAGCCGTATTCTGAAGCTAAAGGTGATGATGAGATTGTTACCAATGATGAGAAAAGGTGCAATTATTTCATGAATGTTATGTTGTAGGGTAAATAAATGTTAGCTATGAATTTAATACCTGTTCTTCTCAATGACTTTTACAAGGTTCATTCTGAAGCTAAAAATAGTAGGATCAATGATGAGTGTGGTTTAAGATTACAGTATATATATTTCAAGAATACCATTATGTTTTAACTTGACATTGAATGCTTTATCTCTTTACTGAAGAGCAGAAGGAAATTTATTATAGCCGAATTTGAAGCTAAATGTAGCAGGATTAATGATGAGAAAGGGCAAATAGTGTTTCAGGATCATTGTATTCAATTTCTTGAAGATCATCCACTAAATTATCGACACCATTATCATGAAGCCTATGCACATATTGTTGGCTCATTATGAAACTCGCAATCTTACAAGATTCTTTTTGTGAAAAAAATCTCTTTTATTGCAACTGTTGAAGTAGTACCTACGTGTTGAAATTTTATTAAGACAAATGCAACTGAAGTGTGTATTTTTCAGTGTTTGAATAAAAGTCAATTGCCTTGTTATGACTATACTATTTTTTCAGCCTTATGATAAAATTGTCTAAGGAGAACATAAAAATTATTCTCATCTTATTTCATGTCAATTACTAGTTTCTAATTGGCATATGTAATTCATTACAAGTATCAAATTTTTATAATGTAAATAGGATCTTATCAAGCTGTTGATGTAATGTTTACTATCTTCAATGTTAGAATTTCTTTTAATTGTTTGATTAATATGATTAATAAAGATAGTTCACCACAGAACACTTCATTTTAAGAAAAATTTGTGAATATGATATCAAGCTGTTGATGTAATTATTATTATCTTCAATGTTAGAATTTGTTTTAATTTTTTAGGTAATATCGTCACTAAAAATAGTTCACTACAGAACAACTCATTTGAAGAATAATGTTTTATCATCTAAAGTGATTTTCAAATTGTAAATTATAATCATAATAGTACGTTTGATGCTCGCGCAATATCAAACTGGCGAAAAATAAGGACGCTTGCATTCGCGCTACGTTATTGTCAGAAGAAAGAAATGCAAGGAATCAAAATGTCATGTATTTCGATTATTTATTCTGTTATTTACATAACACGAGTTACATTTGAGACCCGCTGTCAAATACAAAGAAAGCTCATGAATAATGTCTCAATGAATGATTAGAACCTAAAGAAGTGTCCTGCGATTATGCACGAGCGTGACATAATATCGGAGGCCGTACTATAAAAACTCACTAAAATGCACGTAGCGGCCTATTTTTCGTCTGTGTTAGGTTAGTTTAGCTTGAAATGCTGTCAGTAAATGGTTGAAGTAACATTACCCTGCCAAATGTATTTGGTTTTTATGTTGCTTTTACCTAACGTGCACAATTAAATATTGGATTCTTTTTAAAATCAACTAGTAGGCAATTAGATTAATTGAGTCACGACGCAACAGTACATATAGGTAGTGTTATACGTAATTGTGTGACAGTTTAAGCAATAAAGCGATTATGACAATAAGAAAAGAAGCATAACATCAGAGATGAATTTTTATCCTATTACAACAATGATTCATCGACCAATAGTATCCTTTGAACTAATTTGATACTCTATTTGTAAAGTCTCCCATAAATGATCATTAATAAGATCCTTTACCATTTTGCAGCGAATTTTTAACTCAATAATTCCCACTGCTAGATAATATCGTCATTGTTTCTCCCTAATATTAAGTAACCTGAGAAAATATTCAAGTAATATCGATCCTAGTATTGATGACAATAATTATGATTTATAAAATTGATAGACATTTTTAAACATCTTTGATAGCACAGCATAGATACCACTAACATTGCAAAAGACCAATTATTTTTTGTGACATATGATCTTGTGAGAGAACACCGCTACTTACAGCAAAGCAATCGAGTCATTGGCAGACGTCAGCACAAATAAATGTATGAGTGTTGCAATAAAAATAAATGTATCTGTAATAAATATGTATCAGAGTTAAATTAAGAACGACCATCGACAAGTTTGGTGAAAAGAGCATGATACCTTTTGAAGAAGAAATTTTCATGTGAAGCATTAGCTAAATTTACATACTTCCCACCAGAATGATTGCTTATTTTTAATGATAATGACCTGTTCTTGATGATAACTATACTAGTTCTTGATGATATAACACTAGTTCTTAATTATATATGCGTTGTGAAGTCCTCAGTTAACTAACGCATATTTGCGGCCGAAAAATAAAGAAGAATATCAAACAAATTAGTTGTAAAACAAAAGTTCACCAAACAGTTCCTTTTGAAACCGAGCCATCAAAGGAACATGGAAGAATGAAACTGGCGTTTTGCAGAAACTTCGAATTTCTAAGCATATAAAATAATAATAAATAAATCCTAATTTATTAGACTGGTATTGCAATGAATAAATAAGTTTGATTCAAACCAGGATAACAGGAAATTCTACAGAAGAAAAATAATCTGCTAATTATTATACATTTTTCAGAAGCTATCATGCATCTAAACACAAAATATTTACACGCCTATTTATTCAATGTTACTCGTATCCGATTAAATATATTTACTTACTAATTACATACCCAATTCTACTTCATGATAATAGTCACATATCCAGTAAACAAAAATGTTTAATAACTGCATAAGCAACAGCTTTATTGTTGCCGTTCTATTAAATGAAAACAATTTCACGTAAAATTGGTCTAGATCAGGGTTACCGTGCACGAAAAGGGCCAAATGCACTATATATTAGTAAACTGTTAATTTTAAACGTGACATCTTATTTTTCGGACTTTTTATACTTTGAAAAATATTATAAATTTGAGGCATCTTGATTTTTGCCGGCCAACTCGTGTGAATGAAGGCTCAAATTGCCAAATGTGGCCGGAAAAGGCCCATGTGGCAACCCTGGTCTACAAACACAGATTAATCATCTCTAGTGAACTTCAGAACGCATGGAACTCGAATATATTTAGTTCATTACATTGAAATCGTTATTGATATCGTTTTCTCGGGTTCGTTTAGCCGAGAAAAGTAAATTGCTGCCGTCGCTAGAATTTGTATTAGGTATCATCAGCACAGCTTCCTTTTCAATATGGTTTAATAGGCCAATATTTACTTTTAAATGAAATTTATTTTTTGAAATGAAGCCTGATTAGACTGGTGTTTCAATTATACGGTACGTATATTGCACTGATGCTCAGAGCAAAATGCCAATGTAGTCTCACATAAATTTAGAGGCAATATCTATCGCTTCATATACAACGCCTTAACATAAAAGCTAGGTTACCACATTCATAGTCATTTTTAAACATGAAATTGCCATGACAGGCGATTTATATTAAGATTATTAAATCATTTGATGATCAAATTAGTAAGTTTGCTGACGATAACATAATTTTATTTGAGATTTAGTGAGGCAGAAAACTTTAAATTGCCACTACTGGCAGTTTGGATTAAGATCATTAAGTCATTTGATGAACAACTTTCTAAATTTGCTGACGATAAACTAATTTTATTTAGCATTTATTGAGGCAGTAGACTTAGGCATGCTGAGCTTGAGAGATTTGCCGTAGCTGCTTCAGTACAGTCTCCAGCAGCTTTTTCTTATCGCTGCGTTTCAAGCGTGAGAAAACTCCACGCTTCTCGCCCTCCAGTAATCTGGAAAATAGGTTTATTAATTACAGAGCCAGGAGCAAAATTATAAATTAAATTGATAGACTAAAAATGTTTCCTGTAATCTGGAAAGTAGGTTTATTGATTACATAGCTAAGACAAAAATTATAAATTAAATTAATAGACTTATCATTTTCCTAGTAATCTGGAAAGTAGGTTTGTTAATAACAGCTAGGAGAAAAATTCTAAATTTAATAAATAGACTAATAATTTTCGCAGCAATAACAAAAATACAGGAGGCTGATATATAGAATTGGTGAAAGGCAGATAACAGAGTTAGAAGAAAAATTATAAATTTAATTAACCTAAATTTTCCTAGCAATAACAAAAATACGTGAGGCTGATATGTATAAAACTGGTGAAAGGCAGATGGAAAATGTTAAAACCAAACTAAAAATGCATGCTTCGGAATCCCATTACAAGTTCTTAAGTTATCTTGCCGCGAGTATAAACAACTTTTGGAAGTCACTACCATGCTGATCCTTGAGTGAAAACTAAACCACCAACTATTTTTACAAGGATTTCCCGTACGGAAAACGGTACACGGTACAAACGATCGATTCAGAATGTACGTATTACATTCACCCACTAACATAACAACATCACCTCTCTTGTCACCCCAAAATAAAAGCGTTGATATAACGATGTCCCTTCAATGGAATAACTGAGAACGATAACTAATGACAACAGTAAATTATTCTTTTGATTCCAGATGCATTTGATGTTTCCGATTATTAGCCAACGTCGCTCAATAAGACATTGAGATATAATATAGTGCCTAATCTAATCCAATCTAATGCCTAATCTAAATTTTTGATTGAGATCTAATCTAATGTTTAACCTAAATCTCTAATTGAGATCTAATCTAATGCCTAATCTAATCTAATACCTAATTTAAAACATTAGTGATTGAGGTTCATAAACTAAAAAGAAGCTTGACCTTATCAACGCCGGACGCACAAGCACAAGCCGTTCATCAAATTCTGATTTATGAATATATTTTTTATATATTCCCACGTTTACTTGTAACCTTGTTTGTCCAGGGTGTTGGCATATGCTATAAAAAATTGTTCTGGCGGGTCAGCAACCCAGTGATGGCAGTAGAACCAACCACCTGTGGCCTTAGACCAATGAAAAACTTACCTATCAACCCGCCTTCCTAGTCGCCATTACAGGGAGCCGTGCTATCAAAACTTATATGGGTAAACAGTAAAAAAAACAGTAAAAGGCTTAGGTACAAATGGTCGCCGATTTCTTGTCAGTTTAGCTCGATAAGCCGTCAGTGATTGACTAAAAGCGTTACGAGCTAGTAATAATTTTTACGTGACTAGTATGTTTACTTGTAACTTGTACGTTTACTTGTAACCAGTACCGTACAAGATGGGCAACCGCAACAACATACGCACTTCTCGACAAGAATGGCAGCAGTGTTCACAAGATGGGCAACATACGCACAATATATATACGCACAACAACATACGCACTTCTCGACCAGAATGGCAGCGGTGTTCACAAGATGGGCAACAACATACGCACTTCTCGACAAGAATGGCAGCGGTGGCAGGGCTAACTCTCAGGAACTTGGCGTCACTGCGGCCGTACTCGTTGAAGTAAACACTCCAGTCCTCGGACAGGAAGAGGTCGAGCAGCTGGCGCAGGTCTGCGAAGCACATCACGAGGGCGCCCTCTTCCAGGCCTGGTACGGGCTCCCCTGCTGCGAACTCTGCAATATTAGCGCCGGATTTTAGCGAAAAATTCTGAATTCGAAGTTTTGCATGAGTAATATTTTGTAGTAGAAAAAAAATTCTTCTGAATCGCCTTCTTCCAGGCCTAGCACGGGCTCTCCAGCTGCGAACTCTGCAATATTAAAGAAAAATTTCAGCGAAAAAATGTCCTGAATTCAAAGTCTTACAAGAGTAATATTACAATTTTAGTAAAATTCCCGCCAGATTTTAGCAAAAAATTCTTCTGAAGCGCCCTCTTCTGCCTGATACGGGCTCTCCAGCTGCGAACTCTGCAATATTAGCGCAAGATTTTAGTATAAAATTTTTCTGAATATGAAGTTTTAGCGAACCCTGGAATATTAGTGCAAGATTTTAGCAAAAAATTCTTGTGAATTTGACGTTTTGCAAGAGATATATTACAATTTTAGTAAAATTCGCGCAAGATTTTAACAAAAAAATTCTTCTGAATTTGACGTTTTGCAAGAGATATATTACTATTTTAGTAAAATTCGCGCAAGATTTTAACCAAAAAATTCTTCTGAATTCGACGTTTTGCAAGAGATATATTACTATTTTAGTAAAATTCGCGCAAGATTTTAACAAAAAAATTCTTCTGAATTTGACGTTTTGCAAGAGTAACATTACAATAGTTGGAATATTCAAGCCGGATTTTAGCAAGAAAAATTTCTGAATTCGAAGTTTTGCAATAGTGGTATTAAAATTGTTGCAAAATTTTTTAGTGACTACAACAGTTGGCAAAATAATGGACTTTTACGCTAATTGAGTCATTTTAATAACGATCAATGAAAAACTCATCAAGGAACTAGCAGTTGTTCAACAATTGACAGAGTTTCGACACTACATTGACCATTTGAAATACCGAGACAATTTCCCTTGCAAGTAGTAAGAGCTCCGTTGTTTTCGATGTAATTTTTATCGACTAGAGTTAAGTAATTCAAACCAAACCCAGGCATTCAGGTCAAACGCGCTCTTCCTCCGTTATTTAGTTTTACATTAAATCGACTAAAGGTACGGTAGCAGATAACGTAATCTTGAACATCCTGTGAAATATTGAATCATAGGCTTCGTAAATGTTGGATATTGAACTGGCTTTGGTTAATAGTTAAGTGAACGCTTCAAGCACCGATTATTCAATCTGAAATAAATTAGGTTGCTAACGTGCACGCTACAGACACCGCTTGATGTATTATTTTATTGACGTATTATACAATTGCCATATTATTCGATTGATATATAAACTATTCAACCTGATACGAATTAGGTAGATAACGAGCATGCACGCTCCAGACACCGATTGACTATTGCCGTATTATTCTATTGACGTATTATACAATTGCCGTATTATTTGATTGATATATAAACTATTCAAGCTGAAATAAATTAGGTTACTAACGTTCACACTGCAGGACATCGAGGCTGAGTTGGTCCAGTGCTGGCAGTGACAGCTGCTTGACGCTGTCAGCCAGCGGCAGCGCCATCAGCGAGCGAGCGATGTGCTGACACGCTGACATGCACGCTGTACCAGCAACACGAACCTGAAATAATAAATAATTAAATGAAAATTGTATTTCTACCTGAAATAATAAAAATTAGATCAGTATTCACTGCAGTGAGTGACAGAGAGCGCATTTTCTCGTCGACGAAAACGTGAAGTCACGGACGAACAGACGGACGGACGGACGGATGGACGGACAGACAGACGGACGGACGGACGTACATGACGAGCACAATAGCGCCTTTTTTCCATAAATAAGAAAATGACTAAAATATAAATGAAAATTGTATTTTTATAATAATTATTCCTTGTAAGCTAACATGCATGCAGTGTTTGCTATGCGAAATTAAAACAATTAGAAATTACAAAAAATCGGTGTCTGCTATGCAAACTTTGAAGAATGAAAAATCAGAGCAAATTTTCTCTATATAAAAATTATTTCATATTCACTTAAAACGAGTCAGAATTTTATTTGTATTTCTACTTATTGTTGATCCAAGATGAATGATATCTTTTTATTTAGCCTCAGATTCCCCAGCAAAGACATTATTGGAAATCATATCTCAACATTCACGATTTTAAATAGTATATTCAAACCATTTAGAAATTGTAATGGTTTCAATCAATATAATAATTTCAGTAATAATATATAATAATAATTCAACGATGTTATAATATATAATGTTATATAATGTATAATAATGTTATAATATAATAATGGACGATGATTAGAATAAAACCGCGAGTTGGTAAAAACTTTTGAGGTAGGATATATGGTGTCTTGACAAGTTCAACTGACAAATAGGTTGGTGAAGAAAGTAAGTTGAAATTTCGAGGAGGGGATAGTGCAATGATAAGTTCAAATGACAGGCAAAATGGTGAATGTGGAGTTTGAAGGAGGCTATACCGTGTCCTTACGATGAAAAATGACAGGCAGGTTGGTGAAGGACGAGAAGGTAGAGTTAAGGAAGGCGATGAGGTATAGTTCAACTAACAGGCAAGTTGGTGAAGGACGAGAAGGTAGAGTTAAGGAAGGCAATAAGGTCTGCCACAAAGGAGCTGCTGTGGCCGTAAGGCTCCAGCAACATCCAGTCGTAGTTGGCGAGCTCCAGGAACTCGTCGAGCTTGCGTAGCAGCGCCGCGTAGATCTGCTCCTCGGCCTCCCCTCGGATGTCTTTGAACATCGCCTGCAATACAAGGATGTTAGTATTTATACTGGTGTTTGTAGGACAATACTAGTGTTTATAGTACAATGTTAGTGTTTATAGGACAATACTAGTGTTTATAGGACAAAACTAGTATTTATAGTACAATACTAGTATTTATAGGACAATACTAGTATAAACATCGCCTGAAATTGAAGGGTGTTAGTATTTATACTGGTGTTTATAGCACAATACTAGTATTTATAGTACAATACAAGTATATATAGGACAATACTAGTATAAACATCGCCTGAAATATAAGGGTGTTAATATTTATAGTAGAATTTATAGGACAATATTAGTATAAACATCGCCTGAAATACAAGGATGTTAGTATTTATACTGGTGTTTATAGGACAATATTAGTATTTATAAGTATTGAGGAATTCCGGAAATTCCGGTCTTATCTTGTGTTTTTGAACGAAACCTGAAATCTGAGGGACCTCAATACACGGTATATTTGCTGATCTTCTTAAAATGTCGGTTTTACTAAACAGAATTCAACATATTTCACTGAGCTAAAAATCTTCTATCATTATAATCTTTAGGTCATAGAACGTAAAGGCGCGAACAAATCATAAACATTACTTTTACTTTGATAATAACAAACATTACTTTTACTTTGATAATAACAAACATTACTTTTACGTTGATAATAACAACTTTACTTTTACTTTGATAATAACAAACATTACTTTTACGTTGATAATAACAAACATTACTTTTACTTTGATAATAACAAACATTACTTTTACTCTGATAATAACAAACATTACTTTTATTTTGATAATAACAAACATTACTTTTACGTTGAAAATAACAAACATTACTTTTATTTTGATAATAACAAACATTACTTTTACTTTAATAATAACAAACATCACTTTTATTTTGATAACAAACATTACTTTTACTTTGATAATAACAAACATTACTTTTCTTTTGATATGAACAAACATTACTTTTATGTTGAAAATAACAAACATTACTTTTATTTTGATAACAACAAACATTACTTTTACTTTGACAATAACAAACATTACTTTTACTTTGATAATAACAAACATTACTTTTACTTTGATATGAACAAACATTACTTTTATGTTGAAAATAACAAACATTACTTTTATTTTGATAATAACAAACATTACTTTTACTTTAATAATAACAAACATTACTTTTACTTTGATAATAACAAACATTACTTTAACTTTAATTATAACAAACATTACTTTTACCACAAATATTATTTAAATTAAACACAAACCTTGGCTTGGAGATTACCGAGCGCCAGGGGGGCTTTGGTCCCCAGGGAGCCTAGCACCACGACGCTGCTGCTCTTACTGCTGCTCTTGCTGCTCAACAACACAAACTTTACTTTAAAAATATATTTTTATGAAATCATTCAACCTTGTAAGCTAAAAATCAATGATGAAGGTTATCACAATATTAGTGAAATAAAGTTTCAAATAAGAACACAAACTTTACTGCAGGAATACATCTTTATACAACCATTCAACTCCATAAAAAATAATTAATGATATTAAGACATGACAATATTAGTTAAAACAGGTTTCAAATAATAACAAAAATTTTAGTGCAAGAATATATCCTTGTGAAGCCATTCAACATCCTAAAATAAAAATTAGTGATTATATTAATCACAATATTAGTTGAATAAGGTTTAAATAATTACACAGTATTACTGCAAAAAATATCTTTATAAAACCATTAAACTTTCTAAAATTAAAATAATTAATGATATTAATCACAATATCAAAGAAATAAGATTTCAAATAATACTGATAGTTTCCAAACACAAAGCCATTAGTGAGAAATGGACTTTTGAGCATAATAACACACATATTATATTTGTACTTGAATTAAATTTCAGAAAGTAAAAATAGCTGAGGTGTGTAAAGATCATACGTCACCATGAACAGAGTAAACAAGTATGATGATGAATGATAATGAAAAAAAGTGATAGTGAAGAAAAGAATAGCGATTACCTAGAGAAAAACTGAGATGTATTGAAGAACAGTGACAACTTGAGATCATGAAGTGAGTATGAAAAATGGTGATTGAAGAAAAGCGACAGAAAAGTGATAGTGAAGAAAAGAATAGTGATTACCCTAGAGATAAACTGAATAGTATTTAAGAACAGTAAAAACTTGACACCATGAAGTGAGTATTAAAAATGGTGATGAGAATCGGCGACAGGCCACATCAGGCCTACTCTTTAGTGCCGACATCACTTTGTTATGTTATGTTATATTATGTTATGCTTTGTTATGTTCTGTTGATATATGTTATGTTATGTTGTGTTATTATATGTTATTTTATGTGTGTTATATTATTTTATGTTATGTTATATTAATTTATGTTAGTTTATATTATTTTATCATATGTTAAGTTATTTCATGTTATGTTACGTTATTACCCAACAAGCCTGGCTACGTAGCTCTCCAGCAGGCTGTTCGCCTCCTCCAGGTGCAGGGTGTTGATGGTGATCTGTATGAGCTGCAGTAAACCCAGCCCAGGCTTCTTGATGAGCGACGCAAGGCAGCCTGCCGAGTGATGATTATTGCTATTTTATGTTGGTATTAAGAGTATAGTTAATATACAGAATACTATAGAATATGTACAGGTGTATAATGTATAATTAATAAACAGAATAATAAATAATATATACCGATGTACGGTATAATGTATAATTAATAAACAGAATACTATAGAATATTTTTATAGTGTATAATTAATAAACAAAATACTATGGTATACAAATATATTGTATAATTAATAAACATAATACAACAGAATATATACAGAATACTATAGAACAAAAATATATTGTATAATTAATATACAGAATACTATGGAATACAGATATAATGTATAATTAAAAATCAAAATACTGTGGAATACCAATATATTGTATAGTTAATAAACAGACTACTATAGAATACAAATATATTGTATAATTATTAAACAGAATACATACAGAATAAAGTATTATAGAAGAACATATATTAATAAATAAGATTATAATTATAAAACGAAAATATCAGGTAGAATAATCGCTTCTGTATCACATAATTAATTTAAGTAATGATAATCGACTTTAGTGGTAAAAATATTTAGTATTCTGTTGTTAAGTCAGCCAATAAAGTGAAGGAATGTTTGGGCAACCTAAATTATTTACTTTAATTATTTACTTTAATTATATTAAAGTACGGTAATTAAATTATCTACTTTAACTTAATTTAATTTACTTTAATCCTGTTTAAATTATATTTAGTAATTTAGTCTATCTTCAGAGGTATGGTGTGTATTACCAATAAAAATTGTTTTTGAGCACAAAATTATTGAACGTTTTCTAGTTTATTATTAATATTTTTTTTAACCTGAAAGAGTGCGCGTGAGAAGGAGATTCGTAGAGCGTCGCACCATGTCTTCTTTTGTGCTCTCACTGCAAACAAGGGAATAACATTAATTTATTAGCTATATAAAATATATTAATAACAATTCCTGAAACGAGTTTTTATGAAACATTATGCAAGTCGTTTTTATCAAATTCAGCTCAAGTTGTAAAGTTGAACTTAAAAATCACAGAAAACCTACTTTAAAAATCACAAAAAATCTAGTTGATTTTATTCATTATAAAAATATATTATTAACAATTCCTGAAATAAGTTTTTAATGAAACATAACGAGAGTCTTTTTTCGTCAAATTCAGCTCAAGTTAAAAAGTTCAACTTATAAGTCACAGAAAACCTAATTTAAAAATCACAAAAAATCTAGTTGATTTTATTCATTATAAAAAATACCTATATTATTAACAATTCCTGAAATAACTTTTATGAAACATTATGCAAATCTTTCTTATCAAATTCTGCTCAAGTTTAAAAGTTCATGATAAAAATCACAGAAATTTTAATTGATTTTATTATAAAATGAAAAAAAACGAGAATAATAGAAAAAAAATAATCCATGCAATTAGGAAAATGTTTCAAAGAAAATAACCGAGAAATATTGAATTTTATTATAATCAAATAAAAAGACGAGCTAATTAAAGGAAACATCCATTAAAAGTTTAATATATAATATCTATACAATGCTGCTATAAATGACTAAAGAATTTTAATTGACCAGAATGATTTGATTCAGAGACTCTTACTTAAATGATGAATTGTGGGAACTTACGATGAATATATTAAAATTCTATCAACAATCGACCCCCCCGTCCAATAAAAAAGAAAAATTATATTCACCAAAAAAATATGATTCAGTTCTTTGGAAATTTTCTATCAATAGATTAATATTTTCTCAACAAAAACCACATATAACTGATAACGTTAATTAATTTTATTATCAACAATAACCACATACAACTGATGTTAATTAATAATATTCTCGCAACAATAACAATTTTAATTAACTAATAACATTAATTAACCACATCAATTAAAATTAATGAACTATTACTTGATGGGCAAGTCATGGGAGAAGTCAAGGCAGGCGGAGGCGAAGTTCTTGACTTCCCTGTAGACCTTGGGGCCACATTAATTAACTAATAAACTAATAACATTAATTAACCACATCAATTAACAGATTAATTAATCAAATTAATTAAAATTAATAATTACTTGATGGGTAAGTCATGGGAGAAGTCGAGGCAGGCGGAGGCGAAGTTCTTGACTTCCCTGTAGACTTTGGGGACCATGAGGCTGAAGGGGAATTGTTTGGGGAATGGTTGGGCCTCCAGCGCGGGGTCGTGGTAGGGGAAGACCACAGTAATGTTGTTGTACTCCCCCAGGTCTGATACTTTGATGGGGTGGTAGTTGTCGTCCTCGAATATCTCCCGGAAAAGCTGTGAAGTTTTTTGAAAATTGTTAAAATTCAAATTATATTTAAAGTTTAATAACTCATATTGTCTTTGTTTTTATCATTTACATAAAAATTGGAAGGAAAATCGAATATCACGCGGAAAAGCTGTCAAGTTTGGAAAATTATTAATATGCAAATTATATTTAAAGTCGAATTCATGTTTTTTTAAAGGAATTATTTTTTTTATCATTTAAAAGATAAATCGGCGGAAAGTTGATTATCTCGCGGAAAAGCTGTGAAGTTTTTTGAAATTTGTTAACTTGCAAATTATACAAAAAGTTTAATTACTCCTGGAAAAGATGTGGATAGTTTTTTTCATCATTTACAGAATAATTTGAAAGGATAGTCGAATGGTATCTCTATGACAAGCAGTTAATTTTTTTCATTATTAATGATATTAATAGCGGTGACATCTTTGATTAGGGCATTAGGCCTGTCGCTGATTCGGGATACCACACAATTTTTACGATTTTTTCAGGTCTCGAACACGCAACTCACTGCACCAATTTTGCTGCGCTTTACTGTTTGGTAGAACTATCACAGATTGCTGTGATCGAACCCGCACCTCTTTCCTCCAATCTTGGTTCTCATTAGTAAGCACCTTATTAGTGTATTAGTAAGCACCTCATTAGTAAGCACCTTAAGACTACGCAGAATTTTAAGGAAAATCGGATAACTCCGGGAAAAGTTGCGAATTTTTATTATTATTTACGGATGAATTTAAAGTAAATTCGAATTATTTCTAGAAAATCAGGAAATTTTTTACTTTCTTATTTACAGAAAAATAAAAATGATAGTCAAACTCCTTAACTCCCCTTAACTCCTGAAAAATATCTAAACTTGTTTTCAAAATTATCAACAGACAAATTCTAGAGAAAATAATTGTAGGTACTTGATAAATGCTTTGCAATAAAATTCATCACTGTTTTCAAATGTAATTTTTATGGGCAATTAATAAATGGGCGCGAAAAAATCACCCTAAATTACCAAAATTAGGGCAGAAATCACATTGATTGCATTAATAATAGAAAATTTTCCTATTTTGCAGAGTTAATTACCGTATCACTGCCTTATCTATTGAATTTGTGTTATTTATTTATTTATTTTTATTGGAAATCGCGGACGTACTGCTTAGATGTGTGCCACAATCACCATGCTAAAGCATTTGGTGATTATTCACCATACTTATTATTATAAATAATTATTTCTAAAATCACCATACTTATTATAATAAATAATTATTTCTATAATTACCATACTTATTATAATAAATAATTATTTCTATAATTTTAAGATGAGAAGCCTCACCAGCAGCCATGTGCTCATGAGCACCTCACCTGCAGCCATGTGCTCATGAGCACCTCACCTGCAGCCATGTGCTCATGAGCACCTCACCTGCAGCCATGTGCTCATGAGCACTTCGTTGTAGTGGTCCTTTATCTCCAGCAGAAGCTCGTGTATGCACGTCACAGGATAGCCGTACGACTGCAACGTTTTCATAATTATTAATTATTTAGTAAACAATCAATATATATAATGCATTATTTCCATATATGCACTTGATATCTAACGTAATGCATTAATTAATTACTCGTGTATACACGTCACAGGATAGCCGTACGACTGTAATGTTTTCATATTATTTTAATAAGCAATCAATACATAATTCATTATTTTAATATGCAATCAATATATAACGCATTACTTCTATACGCAATAAATATATAATGCATTAATTAAATACCTATGCAATCAATAAATGATGCATTCCTTTAATACGCACCAGATATTCGGTGCATTATTTTAATATGCACTAGATATTTAATTCATAAGTTTAATATGCACTAGATAAGAAATACATTAACATGAAGTACGGTACTATTTGTATATTAAATCATGCATATCAATTTAAAATCAAAATGTAGTTTGGTCATGTCAAGTATTATTTATAAATTTCTAGAAAGGCACTGAGTGTTAGAATTCATTCACAAATCAGAAACCATATCATCTACCAATTTGAGCTAAATGCCATTTAGTATTTTGACGGTAGTAAATAGTACTATTTAAAAACCATTTATGAATCAGAAAACGTATCTACTGAATTAAGCTAAATGTCATATAGTATGCAATACTAAATATCATTCTAAAAACTATTTATGAATCAGAAACCCATACAGAAACCCATCTACCAACTAAATCTGAATGCCATATAGTATTTAGTACTAAATACCATTCTAAAAAGCATTAATGAATCTGAAAACGTAGGTATTAACTGAAGTAAGCTAAATGCCATTTAGTATTCAGTAGAATTTACTAGTCCCTAATACTAGGTATATATCATTAATGAATCATAGATGTATATAGATAAAATACCTGCAATGTGCACGCGATCATTAATCCTTTATACTACATATAATTAATGAATCATAGATGGTATATACTAGATAAAATACCTGCAATGTGCACGCGAAGAGCATGAGCACTTGTTTGATGTCCAGCATGAGGTTGGTGTCTGTGATGTAGGAGGCCTGGTTGCGAATGTTGTTTACGATCTGAAATATAGCATTGTTGATGTTATAACTTATAATAAGTATTTAAATTGTTACACCTGGTTACAGATGTTGTTTACGATCTAAAGAATAGCATCTGGTCGTTATCACATTCATTTATATTTTAATTGTTAGGCCTGGTTGCGAATGTTGTTTACGATCTGAAATATAACATTGTTGATGTTATAACTTATAATTAGTATTTAAATTGTTACATGGTTGCGAATGTTGTTTACGATCTGAAATGATAACATCGTTGACGTTATAATTTATCATTAATATTTCAATTGTTCCACCTGGTTACAGACGTTGTTTACAATTTATCATTAGTATTTTAATTGTTACACCTGGTTAGAGATGTTGTTTAGAAATAATCATTATTATTTAAATTGTTACACCTGGTTACAGATGTTGTTTATGATCTGATGTATAACATCATTAACGTTATAACTCATCATTACTACGGTATTTAAATTGTTATACCTAGTTACAGGTGTTGTTTACGATCTGAAGTGATAACATCGTTGACGTTTTAATTTGTCATTACTATTTAAATTGTTACACATGGTTACAGATGTTGTTTATGATCTGAAGTGATAACATCGTTGACGTCTTAATTTATAATTACTATTTTAATTGTTAGGCCTGGTTAAAGATTTCGTTTACTATCTGAAAATATAACATGGTTGAAAATATATGTTTATTACAATCATTAATAATTTAAGAATTAGACCTGGTTGCTGATACTGCTTGCGATCATTGATAATAAAATCATTTAATTTTTGTGTTTACTAGAATCATTCATATCTCCTATATTCATTTATATTCACTTTTACTGTCATAATGAACCTGATATTATTGGGCAGCAGGTTAAAAAAGCTACAGTGTCATTACATGCAACAAAGGCGCAGGCTTCTCACCAGCTCTTGGTGGGAACAAGCAACAAATAAAAGAGTAAGCAACAAAATAATAAATCAACAAAGATAAAGTACAAAGAAAAAAAAGGAGATATTATTTAACCTAGCCCTGAGCCATCTGCCAGACGCTGAGCAGGTAATAACAATAGATATATTATACATTATATTATTATTATGTTATATTATGTTATATGATAATAACCTTGCCCACGGCCATGTGCCAGACACTGAGCAGGTAAGGCTTGTCCACGAGACCAGGCGCGGTGTGCGCCAGTGTCTCCTCCACCACAAAGAACCCCAGCATTATTATTATATTATACATTATATTATTATTATTATTATATTATTATATTATAATAACCTTGCCCACGGCCATGTGCCAGACACTGAGCAGGTAAGGCTTGTCCACGAGACCAGGTGCGGTGTGCGCCAGTGTCTCCTCCACCACAAAGAACCCCAGCACGGCCTGCACGTACGTCCTGAAGCTCGCCAAGCTCTCGTGCTGCTCGTATAACATTAATTAAATAACTATTTTCAATAGTTTTTAATAATTACATTTAATAATTATAGCTATATTTATTAATAATTAAATGATTAAAGAACCCCAGCACGGCCTGTACGAACGTCCTGAAGCTCGCCAAGCTCTCGTGCTGCTCAGACAACGTTCAGTAATTATTTTCAATAGTTATTAATTATTGAATAATTGAATTCAATAATTATTAATAAATAAATTGTATGTTTATTAATGATTAATTAAATAAATTCAATACGGTAATTATTAATAAATTAATTGAATGTTTATTAATGATTAATTAATTAATTAAATTCAATAATTATTAATAATTAATTGAATGTTTATTGATTAACTAATTAAATTTGATAATTATTAATAGCTATATAGGTAATTAAATTCAATAATTATTAATACTTAAATGATAAATTCAATAATTATTATTGCTTAATTAATATTACAAATAATAATTTAGTATAAATTTATAATCAAATGAGGCATTTAGGACGGGAGTTACCGAAAAAAAGAAAGGAAAACCGATCGGGAAAGAAACAATAATTGGGAAGGGATAACGATTTGGAAGGGGTAAACGAGTTAGACGTTTAAGACCATTAGGAAGGAATGAATGTAACAATATAAATTAACTTAAAATTAAGACGTGCATTTGAGCATGACATATTTATTTTGTTTTACGCTGAGCGCAACGAAAAATTATCTACAACAACTTTCTGAAAAGTTATTAATAACAATATTAAGACAGAGCAACGGAAGCCATAGGCTATAAATATCAATAAACTGTATAATGGATATTAAAAAAATTAAATAAATGGTATAATAGACATTAAATGTTATAAATAAACTACGTATATAATATAAATTAAAAGTTATAAATGAACTATATAATAGATATTAAAAATTACAAATAAACTATGGTATAATAGATATTAAAAATTATAAAAAACTATATAATAGAAATTATAAATTATAAATAAACTATATAATAGAAATTATAAATTATAAATGAACTATATAATAGATATTATAGATAATAAATAAAATATAAAATAGATATTAAAACTATAAATAAACTAGGTATATAATAGATATTAAAAATTATTAATAAACTATTTAATAGAAATAAAAAATTTATAAATAAACTATATAATAGGTATTAAAACTTACGAATGAACTATAATTGATATTAAAAATTATAAATAAACTTGATAATAGACAGTAAAAATTATGAATTAACTGTATAGTAATAGATATTAAAAATTATAAATAAACTATAAAATAGATATTAAAAATAATAAATAAACTCTAAATTGAATATAGAAAAGAAGGGAACTCGCCATGTTATTAGGAGGTTGTAGAGCCAGACGAGCCTGTTCCTGACGCTGTGTTCTGTAGTACGTGTAGAACTCTTCCTTCTCTCCCAGCACCTACGTAGGGCAATTGTGTTAATATTATGTATTATGGAGTGAATTATTATATTAATATTATCCCAGCACCTGTGTAGGGGAATTGTGTTGATATTATGGGGTGAATTATTATATTGATATTATCCCAGCACCTGTGTAGAGCAATTATATTAATGTTATGGATTATGATAATAATGCTATTAGAATTAAGATCAATTAATTGCTTAAATTGCAAGTTCATTATGAATTTAAAAGCTAAGAAAACAGCCAAAAAATTAACCATTTATGGTGAATTTTTTGAAATGGTGAAACGTATGGTGAAAGAAATGGTGAATGTTTTGGCCGTTTCATTTGGTGGATTGTTAAATTAATACTATTAGAATTAATATTATTTGAGTGCTTAAATCGAGATATCGTTAAGAATATAAAATCTAAGAAAACAGCTGAAAAATTCACCATTTCTTATGCGAAATAACGTATGGTGAATTTTTTAACATGGTGAAACGTATGGTGAAAGAAATGGTGAATTTTTTGGCTTTTTTCTTTGCTTTTTAATTCTTGTTTAATATTATTGTGTTGATTATGATAGTAAGATCATAGTGTGGATATTCATTGTAATATCATAATGATGATTATGATAGGTATCAATATCATAGCATGGATTATAATATAAATTTTATGGTTTTTAATGATAATTTCAATGTCATAATGTGGATAATGACATTAATAGTGATCCCATGAAGCTCATGCAATAAATACAATGAAAGAGCAAATTCTGCCTCACTCTAATTCATATAATTTATAAATACATAAATAAATTGATGAATAAACGCTTACCTATTCATATTGGAAAAATATTGATAAATACAAAAATTAATTTTTGATAAATCAAAAGATATTTGATATCAAAAACATATTTGAGAAAAAAAATTGATAAATAAAAATCAAATAAGACATTATCACATTTGCACGGTGTATGAAGAAATTGAAGGAATGGGTAAAACGCAGAAAAATATTGTTAAGCAGCATCGGGAAAGTAGCAGCGAGTCGTTGGTTCGAACATCAACTGTGTAGGTCTCCGTATTATTTCCTAAATGTATTATTTGAAAATACCTGAATACCTGGGGGGATCTTAAGGTTATAACACGGAACGTTTGGGTTGTGGATGTAACACCACGCACCGTATGAATGTGCAGACAGCGCAACACGCACCGTATGAATGTGCAGACACCGCAACACGCACCGTATGAATGTGCCAACACCGCAACACGCACCGTATGAATGTGCAGACACCGCAACACGCACCGTATGAATGTGCAGACACC